TATTGATTTTGTGGACAGTATTAGAATTTAAAATTTTAATTCTGAGACTGTCACCTGGAAAATTGATGAAATTGTGACATTGCCAGCCAAGGTGGATGAAATAAGCCCAGGGGGCATTTAGCCAAGAGTGTCAGAGACAGTGAAGGCTCTGTCATTTTTCTCCTAGTTATACCAGTGCTGTTATTAAGATTGACAGCCGGGGAGGGGAGGGCACCTAACTGCTTGCCTCTCATGTCCTGGGGCAGAGAGGGCAGAGAGGACAGTGGTCCTGAATAACTTCCTGAATAACTGCGTGTTTGGGGCTTATGTTGCATGAAATGGGGGTGAGGCAGAAAGGTGTGTTTTGACTTATTGCTATTTTTGTACAGAGTAGGCTCTAGTCCAGTTTGTGAATTTATACATACACTAAAGAGAGGGGCTTGAAACAGAGAGGAAAGAGGTTAGGAGAGTGACTGCCTGTGTAAGATATTTCCCTAGAGAGTACAGGTTGTTTTTCCGTGGGACTATCTGGTTAGGCAAGATGGCAGCACACCTACACCCAGTCCAGAAATGTCACACCCTGGTCGTCAGCATCACACAGCGTGATCCTGGAATCTGTGTTTATCTCTTCCTTCTCGCACTGTGAGGGTGAAAGGACTAGAATAAGTAAAATAAGCCTCCCCCCCCTTCTTTCTAAAAATTATCGACAAGCCTGGTTTTTGTTGCCATGACAGAGTACTTGAGACTGGTACATTATACCAAATTGATTTCGTTTGGCTTATGGTCCAAGGGGCTAGCCATCCAAGATGAGGCAGGTGCATCTGACAAGGCCTTGTGCTGCGGTGAGCAAGAGGAAGACACAGAGCAGGAAGAGGAGCCTTGCTTCATAGCAGCCCTTCTCCCATAAGTAGTCAGTCCCCAGGAAAGCAGCACTAATCCCTTCATGAGGGTGGCACCTCATGAGCAAAGGGTCTCTCAGAGGTCCCACTCTCAGCGCTGTTAAACTGGGGACTGAATTTCATCATGAGTGTTGGGAGAAGACTAATGGTGTTCAAGCCACAGCATGCTTCATGAATACTGATGTCTTAGCTATTGGGCAGCACCAATTTCAATATAGTGCTCCCTAGTAAAGGTCTGTGTTGTCACTAACAAACAGGTTCACTTGCTTGGGCAGCAGTTGAGAAGGGCTAGGGAGGTGATAGTTCAGTTGGTAAAGTGCCTGGTGTGCAAGCAGGAGGACCTTGTAAGTGCTGAGCACACTGAGGCTTGCCTGTACCTCCAGGCTGTGGGGTAGAGACAAGCAGATCTCTGGAGTTCAGCAGCCAGCTAGCCTAGCCAAGTTAATGACCTTCAGGCCCAGTGAGAGACTGTCTCCAAATGTAAGGTGGGCCATGCAGTTGGGAGGAGGTGGGAGGTGGATCTGAGAAGTTAAAGGGAGGAGTTGGAAAGGAATATGAACAAAATACATAGTATGCAAGTATGAAATTCTCAATGAAAAATATTATATATGAATTATATAAAAATCAGAAACAACTGAGAAAGACATCTGTTATGGGTCTCTGGACTCCACAGGCATCCACAAAAACACATATATACACCAGAGGCAAACAGGCAGTTGAGGTAATTGACATGTATTTTATAACAATATGAGGTTCTTTTTCTCCATACATAAATCTTGAGGATTTTTTTTTTTTCAAGAACATACTGTTCAGTGTTTTTTTTTTTTCCTTAGTATAGTTTTTTATTTTTGCACCTCCCTTGCAGTTTTGCTTGTGTGTAATTTTATCATGAATACACTCACTTTTTGCACAGTTTTGCATGCTGTACTATAATTCTATGTCTGTGTCACTAGATAGGCTCTAAGTACCTTGATGTTAGAGGTCCATCTTACTTTCTAGGACAGTGCTTGGTGTGACATACAAGGGGTGTGACTAGAGAGTGTTCTGTGCATATTAAAAAGCTTAAAGCCTACCTCCTTAAGATTGGGATGTTATATTCAGTAGAAGATTCCTGTATCCTTTCTCCTCTTTGGAATGAGCAGCAGCCTGGTGTGTTCAGTGTGACCATACATGTGCCGTGTCTGACTGTTTGTTGATAATGAGTGGTGACAGCATTGTCATACTGTGAACGCTTTGGTTCCAAGGTCATATCTTTCCCTTTGTTGAACATAAGTGGATTTTGCATTTTAGGACATTGGCCTGTGGAACCTGGTAGATTGGTGTTTATTATTTATGCTTTGGAGCATTTATCATAGTCTGACCCCCATCACCTCTGCCTTCTATTTTGATAAAATGAGATTTGTGCCTGGCAAGCTTTGGATGGGTGCATAGTTAGCATATCTGATGTGCAGGGAGTTGATTAAAGGGCCTTTGACTGGATCCTGATTTTTGAAAAACTGTAATTTCTGTCTCATATCAGGAACTTTATTGTGCTTTTCTTTACATAAAAAATGTAATCATTCTCATGGAAAGAGGTTAAATTGTACATATTATCATTAATGTGCTTTGTTTGATACACCAACAATTCTTTCCTATCCCTTCAAGATAAAAGCTTTCTCCTTGTTTTCTTTTCTGGAGACAGAAAATGACACAGTGTATATACAGACTGAGCTCCATGGTGACCATTAGCATTGACCACTTTTATGTTCCTGTGTACCAGCCAAAAATACACATTAGAAAGGAGTTTATTACCCAAAATGCCTTGAACTGAAGGGTCTATAAAATTAGACACTTTGTGATCATTGTAGAAGAGAAAGTTTAGAAACTTTGGTCACATTAGCTCCTTATGGTTTCAGTCTCCCTTCCCATCCCATCCATTCCTCTTTGGCACTCTTTCTGTCCTCCTGTGTGTGGCGTAAGTCCTAAAATTAAAAATCAGGATTTGGACCAGCTTTGACCTCTGGGGAAGATGGGAAGAACCTCTAAGGGCCCATCTGCCTCCAATACTCTTCCTTATGGGCTCTATGGATGGGTCAGTAGTCATTGATGACATCTTGAGCCCAGCCTGGTGATACCCAGAAAGAAGAGCACCACTGACCTGCAGAACTCTATGATAATAAATAGGTGTTGTTCTAAGCCTTACTTTTTTGTTGTTGTTGTTGTTATGTAGCAGTAGAAACCTAATCAACTGTCAAGTGGGTGTTTGTGTTTCTTTAAGCGCTCCCTCTGAAATACATAGGCATATTTAAATCTTTTAAAAAATAAATTTTATTTTTGATTCCCCATGTGTGTGTGCATTTGCAAGCATGAATATGATATGTGTATGTGAGTATGGTCATGTGCCGTGTTACATGTGTCACACTCAGGTTGCCAGGCTAGCACAGCAGTTGCTATTATCTTTTGAATCATCTCCCCAGCTTCAAGCCTTTTTACTTTAACAGCAAGGAAAAGCAATTGTCTGTCTATCTGATGTTTCCATTTATAAAGTGGGGAAGAATCCTTATCTTTGTGTACAAAGGAGAATGAGTCTGCAGCAAGTGGGTTGACTTTGCTCCACACAGTGAGCCAGCATTCCCTGTGATCCAGCCTTTCAGCACCAAAGCCAAGCCTTTGGTCATTGTGGGCTCCACAGCCCTTCCCTGGTTACAGCTCCGGATTCACATACCTCTTCTGTTTTAAGCTTGTGTATGTTGGTTCCTTTGTAAAAATTGTGGAGAAGTAGAACTGCCTTGAGAGACAGTGGCAAATGGGTGCAGATTGAGTAACATGACTTACTGAGACACCTAGTATGAACGCCTATCATTTGTCATTTGAAATAGAAGGTAAGGGGTCGCATAACACATTAGAATCACTGTTTATGAGAATGGTTTGCCCAAGTGAAGGAAAGGGAACACTGGTAGGTAGGGTCTCCTAGACTTTCCTTGTAAGCCCTGGTTCTCCTGAGTATTTGGGGGTGGAGGGACAACCGACTGAGTGATCTCATTAGGGTTAATGTGGAAGTGCTAGGAATTCTGTCACCATGGTTCAAGATGTGAGAATGGTGCCATATTTAGGCAAATGTAGAAGGCTCCTGGGTGTGCATGTGGGTTCTCCATATTTATTTGTCTAGGGTAAATGACGGAAAGGCTCCATCTGTTTGTCCCCTTGGGCCCTTCAGGGCCTCCCATGAGACTCTCTGTGCGTCTGTGGCTTGCCCCTGCGCCTCTTGCAGACAGAAACCCGAGGCTGGAGGCTTGCTTCTTTTGTCGATCTTTGTTTCACAGGGAAACAAACAAACAAACAAAAAGGAAAACCTGTCTGCAGGACTAAGCATTCCCTGTCTCTGTCTGCAATTCTGTTTGTTAAAGGTTAATTTGAATTAATAAGCAAATACCTTACATGGGCTAAAGCCAGTTACCAAGAGTGTGCCTCACACCTTAATAATGATCGTGTGTTGCATAGCTGCAGGGAGCCAGCTAAAGGCAGTTTGTGAGTTACTCTGACAGGCATAGGGACCCTGTGGGGGATGTGCAGCTTTTCAGTTCTTTGTCCCCTGTTGCATGGAGATGGCAGGGAGATCCAGGTAGACATCCCCACAGCTGTGCTCTAGGATTCAGGTCCTCAGCTGAGTCCCCTCTTGGATCCTGAATGATGATTTGAACTAATTGGATTGCTTTCTTCCTAATACCTAGTAGCAATTGTTAAAGGGTATGGGACAGCTAGTGAAGAGGTTGGGAACATTTCATGGGGAGACATGACTCAGAAGGCTATGAAGGAGGACTTTGGAAAGATCCTTAGGGTCTTCTTAGTGGCCACTGTCTTCCAGGTAATACAGCTCATTTATAAGTGTCTAGCTGCCACCCATCCTTCGTGAAGATACATTGCTGCCCTGACTCTTCCTGGATGCCAGTCAGAGCACCCTTCCCTTTCTTTAATATTCTAGCCACAAAACGTGTGGCTAGTGTGTTTGTGGATGTGACATGATGCTTGATTGTATATTTGTCCAATATTTAAATGACATTTGAGTAATGCTTCAGAAATGCTCTTGATGCAAAGGTGAATGAAAAGCATCTAACTTTATAATTGCCCTTTTCTGTCTCACAGTACTGGCTGGATCCAGCAAAAACTCTTGCGGAACACAAGGAGCTAATCAACAGTAGGTATTTAATTTTAACCTTGGGGGAGAGTGACTTGGGCCTGGTGAAATGTCTGTGATTAGTTTAGTGTTGGTGAGTGAACAGTAGGGCCAGGGAGTCGTACTTGGGCTGTGTGCTGTGAGACTCTCCACACTGGCATGGGGCTAATTTAATCAGATACTCAGTGGATCCTGTGACTATCGGATATATCCAAACACCCTCTCTTGTTTTTTAGCTGTGACTTTTCTAAGGAAGAGAGAGGGAAGACTTGATTACTGGGACATGGAGTATTTTGTTGTCATGCCTCAGGACATGTGACATGCAAAGTTGCTGTGACTTTGGGGAGAGACGTCATTCCTTGTCATGGGTTAGCTTTTGGAATGACCAAAATGAATTAATTAGGGGAGTTGGTGTATTTAAATACATATTTTTTAATCTTAATATCCATTCCCAAGGTTTTATTTATAAACACATGCACAAACTGAACTATGCAAAAGGATAATCCTTCATAAATTTTGGTGGTAAAATTACATAAGTTAAAAAGTTGAAATATTTTGTGTGTAATTCACTGACATTAAATAATTCACTTTTCTGCAAATGTCATTGCAGAATCTTTCCTTATCCAGATTGTCCTCTGTAGCCAATGCGTCATTTTGTTCAAATTGTGGCTGAATGCCAATCAGAACCCGTGGGCCCTTCTGCCCGTAGGGCCCCATGGCTCCCATGTCTGCCCCCTTTCTCTGTGGTCATGTCAGTTGTGTGAGCTTTCATGGAGTGCAGCCACACCTCAGAAGGAGCTAGAAACCCAGAACTGCAGGACCCTTAGGAGCGAGTACAGATTCTCTCAACACCCGCATCATTGTCCTCATCTCTGCCTTTCTCCCTTGTAGAAATCACCAAAGTTTATACATTACAGCTCTGGCCCATTTGAACCAATCAAAAAAAAAAAAATAACTATCAGAAACTCAGAAAAATTTCAGGAGTCATTATTTTAAAATAAACTTGCAATAAAAAATGTAAATGTTTTAGTGGAGCATAGTGGTTCACAGCTGTAATCCTAGTAATATAGAGGCTGAAGCACGGCCAGCCTGGACTACAGAATAAGTCCTTGTTTCAAAAACAAGCAGACAAACATGGGGTCTGGAGAGATGGCACAGTGATTAGAACACTGGATGTTCTTCCAGAGGACCTAGGTTTGATCCCCAGCACCTACATGATGCTCATAACCTGTGTAACCCAAACTCCAGAGGATCCAGTGATGTCTTCTGGTCTTCCTGGACATCAGACATACATGCAGTATACAGACATACATGCAGACAAAACACCTGTACACATAAAAAGAAGTAATCTTTCAAAATATTTTTCCTTTTTTTTTCTTTCAAAATATTTTAAGGCATGCCAAAGTTTCTGCCCAACTTATTAAGATACTCTATTTAAACATCATTGTAAGAAGCAATATTTTTTCCAAATGCAGTAATGTTAAATGCTTGATGAATGTATAAAATACAATCTCATCTAAAGAAATATGTCGTGGAAGACTTCTATCTCATGAAGTATTTTATAATGAAGGAAAGCAGCATAGTCAGTATGAATAGCCATACAAATGGTAGGCCATTTCTAGTCACCAAGAGTCTCATAGATAAATCTGGAGTTACTTGCCCCAAACTAAATGGAAATTCATCATTATCATTAAGGCACTATGAAAGGTAGACTGGGGAATTCCCAGTGTCTGGTCCCTGCTTTTTTTTTTTTTTTTTTTTTTTTTGATAAAACAAAATGATATTAGCTTCACTTTAAGGGTTTCTTAACATTGATCCCATTGAATGGATGGATTTCAGATACTAGTGGTTTGCTTTGTCAGCATCTCATTTTTGTAGTTAGTCAGGAAAATGTCTGTCTAGAAGTATTGAATATAAATGGCATTTCTAGGACCATAGCTTTCCCTACCAGACTGCAGTTGAGAGTGTGGGCCACAGGTCTGTTTTCCCAGACTGTAGATGACATTGTCCGTACAGCACCAAATACTAGGCACAGGTAAACTTTATTCTCATCCCTGTGGTTTCAGGCAAGTTGCTTAACTCCTCAGAGTTTCCCTGATTTGTGGTGTTTTCCAGGCTGTGGCCAAGAATGAAATATTTGTGATTTGTTGTTGTTTGAGACAGGGTCTTACTACATATCCCTATGTACCAAGCTGGTCTTGAACTCACAGAGATGCACCGGTCTCTGCCTCCTGAGTGTGGGGGATGAAAGGCGTGCACTGCCACACTGGGCAATATGAAGTGACACTAGCCCCTTTGTGTGCCTGTGGGAAAGGCCAAAGCCCTCAAAGAAAATTAACTCAAGCTGAGTGGTTTTCATTCTGCATTTTTCAAGTTTCTGCTTAGCTGCCCATGACTGGACACAGATGGAATGTCTGTGCTGGATGACTAGGGGTCATCTGTCATGTTCCGCAGAATGAAAGTAGCTCTGGAGTCTATAGAATGCCTCTTTGCTTTGTGTGTATCTTAGCGGTGTGCACGCCTCCTCTCTGCCCCGCTAGGTGAAAGCCCAGCCGCCTGAGGCCACGGGCAGAGCTTGATTGACATAGACCATCAGCCATCGGTGGACTTCCTGCCTCTTCTAAATATTTAATAGTCTTGCCTCCCTGGTGTCTTAAAAATGAAGATTTTTAAAAAGTCACTAAGTGGTAAGAAGTAACACATAAAGGAAGGCAGAGATCAAGGGAGAGGCATGGACTTAGTCTTAATGTCCTGTGTGTGCAGTTAATAGGGCTTTGGGGGAGTTCAGAACATGTGTGGGTATGTGATAATAGCCAATAACATGGTTTGTATATTATAAATTAACTTTATTTTTATTGCTTGATCTAATTTGTTTCTTTCACCCAGTGTTTACGTTATGACTTAACTAAAAAAGAAAGTAGATTAGAGTTTCTTTGTATCGTTATGTGGTGTCAGCTGTTTTCATCCTGCACGTGGCATACTTTGTGTTTGCTGGCCGGAACTTTTGGTGAAATACCAATGACAACACTGACAATCAGTTGGAGCACTAAAAAGCCCTTTAAAACAAAGGCTATGGCAGGTGGGAGGTAGAGACAGGCGGATCAGCCCTTCAGATCAACCTCAGCTGTTTAGCAGGGTTGAGGCTAGCCTGAGCTGCATGAGACCTTGCTTCGAGACAAAAATAAAGCATAATAATTACTGACAGCTTGGATGTTCATAGTTTTGAGTGCAGAGCACATCCATTCACTCTGAAGTAAGAAATGGTTCTAGGAACAGCATGCTGCAGTGTAACAGCACCCAGGGGACCTTCATGTTCCTGCATGGTGTGTTGACTATTTTGTATTTACCTATGCAAATGCAGTTCCAGGCTTTGTTTCTGAATTTTTAAATGTTTTTGTTGTCTATAGATTTAGCTCTTTTGTTTGTGGTAAATGAATAAGAAGTATTTTTTTCACATATATGTGCATTTATTTTTCTATTTAGAATAGTTAACGGAGCTGGAGGGATAGTTTAGTGGTTAAGAACACTGGTTGTCCTTATAGGGAACCTGGGTTTAATTCCTGGCACCTACATAGCAGCTCACAATAGTCTGTAACTACAGTTCGAGGAATCTGACCTCTTCTTTTGACCTCTGAGGGTAACAGACACCCACGTGGTATGCATCTATATATATATGCAAATACAAACATACACATAAAATAAATGAATTTTAAAAATTAGAATAGGTTAAGAATTCAGCAGATATTATGCTACCACATGGCTTCTCTAATATTTTTCTTAAAAATGCACATGCTTATAAAAATTTTAGCTACTCAGTCTGTGGTGTACTGCTACTTCCTAGCATTTGTCACAGTTTATACTTCCTTATGTATTTTTTCCTGGGACAAACAGCAAATATTAACTTTTTTCCCTTTGAGGTGTCAGGACTGTAGACTGGCAACTCTCTGCACACCAACCCAGATGGATCCCCACCTGTTTAAATAAGCTGGGACTGGTCCATTGTCCTGTGGCTGTGGCTTCACTGATAGAGTCCCCTCTGCTGCTCAGTATGATTACAGCCTTTTGCAGAGAAGTCTAGAGAAACTTCTTCTTGACAGTTGATATGATAAGTGGATGGCTTTAAAAGATTATTTGTCAATATGTGTTCTTGATGATGTAAGGAACCTCTCCTTCCTACTACCGCCTTCCTTCATTAATAAATAACAGGAAATATAAATTAATAAAAGTTGTGCATAGATTGTTCGATCAGATATAACACAGTAACACTGTGGTAATTTGAGCCTTAAGTTGTGTTTTGTGTTTATGTGCGAATGAACATGCACATAGAATTCATTTCCTGCTTTCATTAATCTTGAACCATGCATTTTCCATTTTGTGTTCTTGTATCTTTAGAAATGTTTTGTAAGGGGTGGAGAGCTGGCTCAGTGGTTAAGAAATGTTTTGTAAATGTAATCACGTGTGTATATGTGAATGTGTGTGTGCATGTGTGTTCATGTGTGTGTATGTACTACATGCAGAGACTAGAAGAGGATATCAGGTGTCCTACCCTGTCATCCCCTGCCTTATTCCCTTGAGACAGGACTCTGGATGGAACCAGGAGCTAGAGTGGCAGTTAGAAAGCTCCAGAAACACCTCTGTCAGCCCTACACAATGCTGGGGTTACAGGAGCGTGTGCATCCACGCCCAGTGTTTTGCACTGAAATTGGGATTTGAACTCAGATCCTCTTGTACGTACAGCAAGTACTCTTACCCACAGAGGCACATGCCTAGCCCTAATTCTGTTTTCCCCCCACGTAAAGAAGCTTCCATTTTAGCAAACAGTTTAAATTCAGAATCATCAGTAGTTTTTAAAAGTATATATAAGTTAGGAATTGTGGCACATAAGGGCTTTTTAATCCCAACACTGGGGACACAGAGGCAGGTGGATCTCTGTGAGTACAAGGCCATCCTGATTTACATGGCAGGGGCCAGTCAGGCCAGCCAGAATTACATAGAGACCCTGACACACACACACTCTCTCTCTCTCTCTCTCTCTCCCCCCCCTCTCTCTCTCTCTCTCTCTCTCTCTCTCTCACACACACACACACACACTCTCTCTCTCTCTCTCTCTCTCCTCTCCTCTCTCTCTCTCTCTCTCTCTCTCTCTCACACACACACACACACACACACATACACACAAATTATGTCAGCATATACACCGTACACCTAAAGGCAAATTGTAGTATTAATATTATTTGATGTGAGAATGTATAGCTTAAAATATAATTTGTATGTAAATGAACTGTCGACTGCTTGAAATAGATGTTTTTCATATTTAATTTAATGTACTCTCCATATGTGAATATAATTCCTAATTGTGACATATTACAATTCAACTTTGATTATGTTGTGAAATATAATTAGCTTTTGCTTTTTTTTTTTTAAAGCTGGACCTCCATATACTTTGTATTTTGGTATTAAATTCTATGCTGAAGATCCATGTAAACTAAAAGAAGAAATAACCAGGTATAGTATTAACTTTATCTTTGAGTACTGTGCTGTGTATGAAAGGCTGTATTTGGAAGTGGATTAAAAGTTGGGGTTAAACATTCGAATGTGTGTTGAGCGGTGTCTTGCGATGCATCTGCTGCAAGGGTTAAGTCTTAGCCTTGCATGAGGCAGATCAGTGTCCGATGATAGATGTGTTTGGAAAAGCGACGGGAACCTGGGTGACATGATGATAGATTCTGCATCTGCTGTGATAGAATATTCTCTGTCATTGTTCAGCATGCCTTTGGCCTTTGTATTTCTGTAAGAGTAGTCATTTGATCTCCAAAGGGGAGGGCTTTTGAGCTAGTTTTATGTATATGAATACGCATTTGGAAAGCCAGTTATTTCCTTTAATTAGTTGTAATTGAAATATTAGTTTAGATAATTTCATTTATCTTCTCAGGAAATGAGAAAATAATCACTTTTAATATTAAAAAGAGAGAGAAAAGATAAGTATTATAATGTATTACTTCACCTTTATCTTCAAAAACTGTATTTCAGTAAAGACAGATTTATTCATTGGTACTGATTAGATACATTACCAAAATAGTCCACACAAGTGTTTGAAAGTGCCTTCTAAAGAGAAGAGGGACATCAGTGTCCTCTTGAACTTGACCAGTCAACTGGTTGCAAAAACAAAAGCATTTGTTATAACTTGGATAGTTAATTTTCTGGTGAACTTATATTTTTGGGTTGAAATAAAACTTTATACATTGTGTAAAAAACTGGAAATTATAACAACAAAGGCAGCTTGGTTTTCTTTTTCTTTTTTTCCTTTCTATTCCATCCTTTTGTGTTTACATATGCATTTGTATGTGGGTGTGTGTGCACATGTGGAGGTCAGAGGTCAGGTGTCCTGCTCAATCTTCATTTTTGTGACAAGGTCTCTTATTGACTCTGAAGCTCATTCTTTGGCTCGACTGGCTGGCTAGCAAGTCCCAGGGAAATGTCTGCCTCTGCCTCCCAGCCATGAGGTTGGAGGAATGCTCCATTGTGCCTGGCTTGTGACTTGGATGCTCAGGATCCAAACTCAAGCTCTCATGCTTGCTCAGCAGCCACTGCATTGACCCAGCCACTTCCCAGCCCCTGATGCATTCCTGTATCTTTCAGCTCAGACTTTCTTTCCTCTTGTTTTGTACTCACTGGGGTTTCCTGTCCCACTCTGACCTGCAACATGTAGGCCTCGTCTTTTGCACTGAGTGATGTCTGCCTCTGCATCACCCACCTCAATTTGCTTCTGAGCACTCTGAAAAGCCATGCATACCCTTCTGGCACACATTTTTCTGTGAGAAGGGAGTTGCTCTGGATGGAGAGGTATTTATATAATAGACCTCCCCGGGAGTAGGGCTGAGCACCACGTCTAAGAGCTGTAAAAATGCTTTAATATCTGTAACCCATTAGAGAATGGCAATGGGATGCTTTGTTTAAAAATGGTGCGAGTCCATCATTTCCATGGACTCTGCCTCAGTGTGTGCCTCTAAAGACTTTGTAAGTGTCTTTATGTTTGGAGTGTTAAGTGCTCAATCAATGTGCATTCTTAGTTGGTCCACCCTGTGTTTGTCATGACAGTATAGTGTGGCTACACTTAAATAGTGTTAGCTTCCCAAAACATTTGTGTGAAGATAAAGGAAAAGACCAAAGGTTTATAATACATTTCTTTACCTATGTTTAACTTGCATTAATAGGGAACAGAAAATTCCCTTCAGAATCAACTAATGCTTGTGCTCCAGAGTTTGTCAACGTAGCCATTTTCTCTCCAGTATTTCCCCAGATTGTACAAGAACCAGGTGATGTAATTGGTTTATAGATGACGACTATGACTTTCTTCTTTTTGGTCTAAGTCATAGTTAAATGTCGGTAAACTAAAGGCACATTTAATATGTGATCAGAATGTACTATACTAAGGATGATGCCATTGACTTGCATGGATGCATTGCTCCATAGACAGGTACAATAGACATGAAAAAGTGGACCTACTGCATAGAATAACTTCAATTATTTATTTGTTGTGTGTGTACAGTTGTAAATGTGAGTGGCATGTGTGTGTGTGTGTGTGTGTGTGTGTGAGAGAGAGAGAGAGAGACAGAGAGAGAGAGAGAGAGAGAGAGAGAGAGTTGGAGTGCAGTGTATCTGTACCATGGCACGTGTGTGGATAAAAGAGGGTATCTCTTCAGTCTTGTTTCTCTTTCTGAGACAGGTTATCTCTTGTTTGGGTGGCTGTGCTGCACACTCTTGGCTAGACTGAGCCATGAGCTTCCAGCATTTTCTGCTGTCTCTGGCTCCCATCTTTTGGTAGTAATGCCAGGGTTGTAGATACATGCTGCTACATCTGGCTGCTCATGTGGGTTCTAGAGATGGACCTCAAGTCATCAGGTTTCTGTTCAGCAAGCACTTTTACACACTGAGCTGAAAGGTAAAGCTGAAACTCAAAAGTGAAATCCCCGTATATGCTATTAAAGGAAACTGTTTTGTGGCCAGTATTGTGAAGCCAAATTTCAGTGTTTTCAAGTTTAAGTTCAGCTGGGTATTGTGTCTCATGCTTGGAATCCTAGCACTTGGGAAGCTGAGGCAGGATGATTGTCACAAGTTCAGAGCTAAAACAGTAAGCAAAAATCCCAAATATAGTGATTCTCTTGATTCTGTTCTTTGGAACATTGTTCCAGCCTACTCTGTGTTTGTTTTATATGAAATGTAAGATAAAGGAAACTTTTATGTGTATAATCTTGCATCTGACAGTGTGATTTTTAGAAAATTCTGTAATCTATTTTTTTAAAAAAAAATTCTTTTTGCCTTGATAACAGAATTACAGGATTCCCATGTAAATACATTTTTTAAAAATATCATACTATTTCATATATCTTGCTTGGATCTCTTTTACCATTCAACCAGTTCTCTTCTGGTAAATGGGTTTTAATACTTCAACAGAGAGATGACTGAAGAATATAGTAAGTTAATGCATGCACAGTACTGACTCCAGTGCAAACAGTGTAAATATGCAGCAGATTGGTACCTGAAGTGGAGAAAATGATGGGTATTTTATATTTTTTTCATTTACTGCTTTAAGAAATAGAAAATGATCAACGTGGAACCCTGAGATGGGCCTTCCAAGCTTATCAAACTAATTTTTGTGATAGTAAAGCTTTTATTTATTATTTTTTACATACTAATCCCAGTTCCCCTTCTGTCCCTTCCTCCGGCTCCTTCCCTCACCCCCACTTTTGCTCCTCAGAGAGGGTAAGCCTCCCACAGGGAGTCAACAAAGTTTGTCCCATCACCACGATGAGGCAGGACCAGGGCCTTCCTTGCTTTGCCTAGGCTGAGCAAGGCATCTCTTCATAGGAAATGGGCTACAAAAAGCCAGTTTATGCATTAGGGAAAGATCTTGGTCCCTCTGTCTGTGGCCCCACAAACTTCCCATAGACTTATCAAATTTGAACTTATTGCGAGCCACCCTACTACAGTCCTGTGGCCATCTGGATTTTAAAACTGGATATACCCATTCTGTAGCAGCACACAGCTCCGTGTGACCATGTGATCAAGTAAAGGCCTAGTTTCCATCACTTGAAGGGAACATTTTGTACTGTGTGGTGATTGTTCTGGGAACTTAGGAGGACAGTCCTCATTATCTCTGGAAAGGCACTCCTTACCCTTGAGCAGACTGGAAGAGGGTAAACGAGAATGTGGCAGACCAGGTTTTAAGCATGCAAGGACTCTGGGCTGGGGTGGAGAGGAGTGTGTTGTTACTGCTACACTCTCACTTATTTTGTGATTGAATGTGGATGTCAGGATGGTTTTCCATCGTTCCTAGGTTACTCTCACATTCCCTGAGACTAGTGCCCCAGCTCCTGAAGCAGCCTGTTGAGGAGGTTTTGCCTTAAGCCTATAGATGCATTCCACTTTGATAGCGGTCTTCTGGGAATGGCCAGTGTGGCCTCTAGCATTTGGATCCCCTCATGGGGCTGTAGCTGTAAGCAGTTGGAGAAGAGATTTATCACATACATTTCTAGAATCCATTTATTTTTCTTGTCTTTGCCTCTCCCAGTGACATCAAGCGTCATCTTACAAAGGAAGGGAAATTACAGGGCAGCCTGAAGGATGCAGGTGTGTGTGGGCATGTTAGTGACAGCAGCTGGATATGGTGTGCTGGTTTGTGATACTGCCTCATAAACTACTGCCCCCCCCCCTGGGGGGGAGCCTGCATGGTCTAATCAGGGTTGCAAATCACCTTGTGTGCTTGTGCATATGCCTATGTGCATAAATGTGTGGATTGTGTGTGTGTGTGTGTGTGTGTGTGAACATGTGTGTGCACGTGTGCCTGTGTGTAGACCAGAGATTAGCCTTGGGTATTACTCCTCGGGTACTGTTCACCTTGAACTTAGAGACAGGCTCTCTCACTAGCCTGGAATTCATTAATTAGGCTAGGCCAATTTGCTGGAGAACTCCAGGAATTTGCCCATCTCTGCCTCCTGAAAGCTGGGGTATAAGCACACCACAGTATCTGGCTTTTTAAATCCAGATTCTTGGGATCAAACTCTGCTTGTCCAGTGAGCATGTTACCAGCAGAGCCATCCATCCCCCAGCTTTCATAGAGTCTCTTGTTTGGGAGACATCTAGGATCCAATTGCTTGGGCTATTGTTCTGTTTCTGGTGATTAACCAGCTGTGAGATCTTGGACAGTTACCTCATCTCAGAATGAAGATAGCAGGGCTGACCTCATTTTTCTAAGATGTTGTATGTAAAATACATAGAAGTTGTTACAGTTTTTACATTATTGAAAACACTTCTTGGCACTATGATTATAAAAAGTATCACGGGATGAGCAGAGCTGAAACAATGAGCAGGGTCTTGATAAGTGGGAAGATAAATGGAAATACACTACAATGTTGATTTTGTCTGGTACATATGATTTTGAGCCTTGTAGATGATACATGTAATACATAAGATCCTTGTAATTTCTTCCTCTTGAGAATGGCATTCATTGAAGTACTGGTAGTGGCAGTACCCTGATGGTGATATTATATTTAATCTCATTGACACCATGAGTTGTTACTGTCCTTTCCCAATCCTGAGGCAACTGGCCTTTAAGGAAACTAAGTAGCATTGGAAGGCTACAGATACAGCCAGCAACAAAGCCGCTATGCAAGCTTGGCAGTCTTCCATGAGGGTTCAGTAACTCATTGAGGCCATACAAAGTATGTTGGTTGATCTCCTCCCTGTTTGTTCAGTAGACTCCTCACAGAGGGGTGGGAGTGGCTTGCTTTTTTATTTATCTATTTATTTTTGGTAAGGATGATTGAGTTTTCCCTTGCTGGTCAGGGCCTGAAGCTTCAAGTCTGAGCAGCATCAGAGATTGTTAATCTCCTTTTTCCATTTCTCTTTTAGATATCAGTTTTTCTTACAGGTGAAGCAAGATGCCCTTCAGGGCCGGCTGCCCTGCCCTGTCAACATTGCTGCTCAGCTGGGAGCATATGCCATCCAGGGTAGGTTCCACTTAAGTATATTTGCTTCAGAAATGCCTGGAGAAAATACTGGAATTTTTTTTTTCTTATTGAAGTTTATTTTTCTGGGCATGTGGTGTGGGAATAATCAGATAGCTTGGTCTTCGTTCTTGAGACACTAGTAGACTAGATGTTAGATAGAATAAATACTCCAGGCAGAATGTCACTAGGGGAACTGGGTTGGCCTTAGGTGATTATTACAGGAAGAAGTTGATCAGAACCTTCTGGTTTTGTTCTGCTTCTTTGTGCTAATGGTGGTAGGACAGACCCAGGACTGCATGGTGCTTCTGGGAGCATCGCATGAGGGGTGGCTGTTTTGAATGCTGTGCTGGCTCTGGTTTCATTGCCTGAGCGGATATATGGGGGTCACCTCCAGTGTACCTAGAATACATACCCTAAGCTCTAGTAGCTATATTACTCAAAATTGCCTATTCGTCATATACACTGATGAGAATAATTGAAATAAAACAATGATAGGCTCTGTGGGAAAGCAGAGAGACATTAATATTCTAAATCCTAATTTGTTTACACCCATGTCTTTGTCGAAGTTCTTTTTGGAATGTTTTAGCAAAGTTATTAGTATTTAGCTACATCAGTAAATCAATAAGGCTAGAAAAATTCCATTCCGTTAGTTTTATAAGCATTTCCCTAAAGTGCCCTTCACTGTGGTAGTTCAGGGGAAAGCCGTATGAATAAGGTTGCATTTTGTTTTCCAGCTGAACTTGGAGATCATGACCCTTATAAGCATACTGCAGGCTATGTGTCAGAGTACCGGTTTGTTCCCGACCAGAAGGAAGAGCTGGAAGAAGCCATAGAGCGGATCCATAAGACTCTAATGTAGGATAACATTTCATGTTGTGTCAGCATCATTACTATTGGCTAAGACAGTCATGGTGTGTTTCCAGATAAACCTACCTGTGCCCGGAACACTCTTTTTCTTTTGCTTCTTTTCCAACAATAAATGCTCACTGAAAATACCAGCTATCTAAATAATATAGAGGCGACAGTAACTCAGCTCCTAAAGACACCACAGTTTTGGTTAATGACCTCTGACCTCTCCTCTCTGTAGAATTCCCATAGAGAAAATTGATTTTTTTTTTTATAGATTTATGTTTTGGGATTTTACACAAGTAGAGTCATTCTGTAAGAGCTGGGTTTTTTTTTTCTCCCCATCTCTACTATCTTGTGAAATCCTAAAATACATAAATGTTGATTTTAACTATATGGAAATGACTAAACATGCCTTTGTGTATTTGAGATTTGCCCTCTTTAGAAATAGAAGCAAAAAATCCTGTCTAGGCCATAGCAATGAGTTCTGTGCTCTTGAAGACACTGGTGTGGAGCTTCTGCAGTCATTATGCTAACCCTGCATGCACCTTTGGAGTCCAAAGGCTCCTCTGGGAAGATTTGCAGTTAATTCAGAGCATTGAAGTTATAATTTAATTATAGTTATTTTGGTTAAATCCTCTATAGTGATTAACTTTGCTTTTTTTGCTTCTTGTGTAACATTCCCCTTTGAATATACTTAGTTTCAGATCTATTATAGTTAAGAAAAAAAATGTAGAATTAATCTGCTCAACAAAAATGTTTGCTGAGTAGATCTGCCTCAGTGGGTAGAGGCAGAGGTGAATTGCTGAATAGCAATCAGAGGGGCTGACTCTCCATCTTGGATTAGCATGCACTAGGATGCTCTGTGGCCTGAAAATAGAATCCTTCATTTTAAGGCTTTGCTGAAGTGGAAGCTAACAAGAGAGAGCTTGTTACACATTATAAAGGGCAGTGTGTTTGGCACGGTCTGCGAATACTAATTCCATTAGGAGTTTCAAAGTACAACTCTATTTTGAAATTATGGGGCTTTGGATAAAGGCCCTTGTACATGTTTTATGTGATGTCGATGGCCAGTTATCTTTTTTCTAGGAATAAAGCATGATCAAAACTTGGTAGTTTTCTTATGACCAATTCATGAAGAACATTCATCCAGGCTTTCATCTAAACACACAGTGGTTGAAGTGACAGAATGCATCAGAGAGCGAGTCTCAATTTTTAGAAGTCTCATTTCTTAGTAGCTTTTATCTTTTGTTAGCCATCAGCCCCCCCACACTATCCCTCCCCCCATTCATCCATGGAGATTCCTGGCAGATGCTCACACTCATTAAGAGCAAATGGTGTTCACTGGATATTAGCACCAGTGAAGGCTGTAGGAAGATTTCTGTACTCAGTTATGAAAATGACAAGCACTTTACTGTTTCTGTGTGTTAACTAATGTGCTTCCATGCCACACCTGTGCTCAGGAGCTGTTGGCATGACCCCTGCCGGGTAGTAGAGCCCTGACTCTTCTTGCCTGGTGTGGTGCCAGCTCCTGTTGCTGCCGATGCACAGCTGCTGGTACTGGTGCATGGTGACATTTTGCTCCTTGGAAAGTGGCTGCTTTTTAATTTGAATGCTTATATTCTCAATAATCTCTCTGGGAGCTTTGGAAACTGAGAGGTTGTAATACATACCGAGAATTCGGGAATAGGCCATAATGAGCAGAAATGGATTTGGTAAATGAAATTAATGTAATATAAATATTAACTTCTTGCCACCCAGAAGGCCAAGGTCTCCCTCGAGTACAAAGCCTTCATCTTCTGCACCAGTGCAGATTCTTGATTCTCTGGTGAACACTCTCCTTCTCTCTCTATGTGGAGTAGCTGTGAGTGAAAAAGTCTGTTTGTCTTCTGGGTTTAGGGGCCAGGCTCCCGCTGAGGCCGAGCTGAATTACTTGAGGACCGCTAAATCCCTGGAGATGTACGGTGTTGACCTCCATCCTGTCTACGTGAGTAACGGTTAATTAATGCAAACATTTTAGGCTGGTGACATTTTGTTAAAAAGTCAAACTCCCGAAGGGAAGCTGCCATCCTGTCCTCTTGTATAGCAAGCAGATGATACTTCCTCCTGTGTTTCTCAAACTCAAAGCAGCTCTTACATGGATTAAACCCTAATGAGTTTTGCATAAAAGTCTGTGATTATATTTCCACGTGTAGAAAACAATTAACTGGCCGTGCAAACACAATCTGGGTAAGAGTTCCAAAGGGCTTAACTAAATGTCAAAACAGTTTGCAATCGGTCTATAATTGATGATATTGGACAGAAAAATGGGAAGTTTTTCTAAAAATAGATTTTTATGGCTGAAAAAAATAAAGTTGTTTGCCAGGTAAAGTAGGTGTTGGGCAACAGTCCTGGTGCGGTGTCTGGTGGCGCTGGGTTGATGGGCAGTTTTTTGTCAACAAGAGAGTAATTTCATGGTTAGAAATATTTCTGCCAGTTTTCTTCAGTAGCTATGGAAACCTGCCAGCTATTGTCAGTGAGCATACGTTAAATCCACATGAGTGTTCCAGAGCCAGACCCCACCCTCTCAGACATTTCTGGTTGACTATCACTTTCATATTTTCATTCCTGCATTCATTTTATAGCATTTCTTTAGCTAACTAGTGTTTTCTGAAACAAGATACCATACTTCTCATTCAGTCAGTCATTCAGGGTCTTGCTGTATAGCCGGGGCTGGCTCAAATTCCTCTTGCCTTTACCTGTGGAGTGCTGGAATTCCAGGTAACTGCTCTTCTTCCTGGTTTGTGTTACTTTTACAGTTAGAAGCATCCTTCAGCACACGTTCAGTGTGACAATGGAAATTACAGACTCGGAGAATCTAAAAGTTCCCTGGTATTCTATGTTGGCATCATTAGAGATTAAACAATGCCGGCTTTAGGAACACCTCTAAGATCTGAGAGCACAGTTCTGTTATCTCAGCATTGTATCTCAGGTGGAGACTGGACAGTCTCACATTTCAGACCAGCCTCGACCATGTAGTAAGAAATGAAAGAAGGAGCTGAGTGTTGATGGCGCATGCCTTTATTCCCAGTGCTCAGGAGGCAGAGACAGGCTGATCTCTGTGAGTTCAAGGCCAGCCTGGTCTACTGAGTGAGTTCCAGGACAACCTCCAAAGCTGCAGAGAAACCCTATCTCAAAATAAGACAAAACAAAAAAGAAATGAAAGGAGGAAGGAAGTGAAGGAGGAAGGTATCTTTAAAATTCCATGAAGTAGTTGTCTTCTCCTCTGCTGGCCTCTTGGTAGAGTTTGGGTTTTTAAAAACACCCTCCCTAGGAATTCATAGAGGTTTCTGCAAAGTGCTTTGGTTATGCTCATCTTAATTGCTAATCAGGTTTCCTGGTTTTGGGGGCAGTGGTAAGGATCTGTGGTGAATGACCCAGATCCATTAGGTCTCCATCGGTAAGGATCTGTGGAAAAGGACCCAGATCTGTTATGTCTCCATCCCTCTGAGGGATGGTTCCTAGAGGTGAAGGCTGATGACGACTGTGATTTTCCAGAGCAGTGTCTTCTGCTTGCAGACCAGTCAGTGGACAGCTCTGTGCAAGTTCTTGGTACCCTCCCGGCCTGTGGCTCTGCCATTTCAGGGTCCTGATTAATTATTTGAGATTTGTCATTGCCTGGAAATGAATGTTCCCCAGGATTATGAGAAGGGATTGCACTTCTCAGTGTTTGAGCAGTCTTAATGTTACAAGTGGAGGGAGGAAGGACCATGGTAGACCTCAGGAAACTGAAGCCTCTGTCTGCAGGCAGCTGCCTAAAATTTCTCATGAGGCTTGTTACCCTGGTAAACTGGGCCTAGATTTACCCACATTGGAGAGCAAAACCAAGACAAACCATTTGAAAGCAAACTTGGTAGAAGCCAGTGGGTCTCAGGGTGTGGCTATAGAATTGTTTGAAGCTCCCGTGTGTTCTGACACTTGGCCTCTGCCACTGGAGATCTGAGGTAACTGATTTGGTGGCTCGTCCTCATCGCCATTTTAGGCTTAAAGACCCCTGCATGAACAGCGTTGGACTCATTGTCATTCCTGCTTCTTTTGATGAACTAAAGTCACTAGTGTTGATTGATGCTAAGAAAAGGTTTCTTAAAGGACTGGAGAGGGGGAAGAACATCAAATTAGTTACTATTACAGTTCAGCTAGCTTTTTGTTTGTTTCAAACCTAAATCCAATATTGGTTATATTTTAATTATCTTACTATATAATTATTGTCAATTATATAAACTGCTCTAACAAATTATGTTTGTCTGGCCAGTTACAGTTTTACCTGGAACTTCTTTAGGTATAAGTTAATGGTCCTGGGAATATATGTGTTTTCTTGTTTGTTTTCAGGGAGAAAACAGGTCTGAGTATTTCTTAGGATTAACTCCGGTGGGTGTTGTTGTCTATAAGAATAAAAAGCAAGTGGGGAAGTATTTCTGGTAAGTATAACCTGGGGGCAGACTTAGTGTAAAGTTGTATACTGAATACGCTGGGCTTTTGAGCTTGTGTGCTGACTCGTCTGGGATTAAAATCGTGTATCTCTTCAGTAGTGAGGAGGTCAGTGGATGAAAGTGGCTGCAAATGTTTGCATCTCCTTTGTAATTTTCAGCTGTGGTTGTTCTGGAATCTTTTGCCCATGGAAACTATATAGTAAGATTTCCCACCCATTCCTGTGTGTGCTGGTGGCCCATGGATCCAGGACTTACTGGAGTTTTGACACTAACTGGGGAAGGAATGGAGGGATTGGGGAACTGTGCCTCTGTGTGTGTGTGTGTGTGTGTGTGTGTGTGTGCTGAAGGTTGTACCCTTGGGCCATGGGGATTCCAAGCTTGTTTGTGTGCCTGTGGAGAAGCACAGGGAGGATGTCCAGATGCAGGGGTGCTCTGCGGTGCTCTCAACAGTACATGAAAGAGCCTGCATTTCTCCATCTTTTCCTGCTGGACACAGCCCTCTGCACTCTGAAAGAGGAAGTTCTGAAAGCAGCAAGCACAGCCCTGTCTGCTTTGTTTTGCAGGCCCCGGATTACAAAGGTGCACTTCAAGGAAACCCAGTTTGAACTCAGAGTCCTGGGAAAAGATGTAAGTTTTTTTGAGCGAGCGTATAGCTCTACTGTGACGGAGAGGGCCACACCTGCTCATTAGTAACTTAAAAGATGTAGTGAAGTGACACTACCATGCTTTCTTCAGCTGCAGCCATGTAGAACCAGGTTAACTGTGTCACACACACACACACACACACACACACACACACACACACACACACACATGCATTTCTTGTGGAAGAGAAAGGGAAATGGGGAAGAAGTTGTTTTAGTTTTAGCAAAGGAAAGCAAAGCCTTTCCAGGCAGAGGGGAGACTTTGGCGGTCTGTATTATCCTGTAAGTTGCTTTTCAGTCCTGCCTGTGAAGGTAGGATTCGTATGATCTGAAAGGTGCGGACTGTGCATCTTCAGTTTTGCTCCAAAGTAAACAAAACAACACGTCGGGTATCACACATCTGTTCTCAACTTGCTGAGCATGATACACAAAATGGATGGAAACTCTGGACGCTTGCGAGGGAGACTGGAAGTCACGGGGTGGGCCCTGCTGAGCTCTTGGCACTTGGCAGTGTCTCAGCAGTAGGTACAATGTCTGTGTCGCAGGTAGCTTTTGGAATCTAGTCAAAGACAGCAAGAATGTGAGCGATTCTTTTTGATCTGTCTGAAAATCACCCTGTGTTTTGTGCTGCCAGGGCAGCCATGCAGGGAAGAGGGGTGAAAAGGTGATGGAGGAAGAGCCCATTCCTCGGTCTCTTACTAACGCCATGCACAGTAAAAGCGAGCGTGGAACTGAACTGACCTCCTTGACTCTTTTCATTAATTCTTTCTAAGCCAGGATCTTGGTATGTTTTCTTATTTAGCCTTTCACATGTTGTGTAGTCCAGGGTAGACTTGAACTCCTAGCAACTCTCCTGCCTCAGCCTCTCAATTGCTGCTGTGTGTTATACCACACGCTTGAATTGACCTTATTTGGGGGCTGCTAGAAAGATTTTAGGTATAAATCAATGCTTTTATGACTGCCTGTCGAGCTGTTGGCACGGTGGAGCAGCCCCCAAGGGACATGGTATTTAGCAGAGGGTCTCACTTGTAGGGACTCCTCTGAAATATCTGTGAAGAGGCTAATGACCTGATTTTTGGGGGTGTAATGCAAACATACAAACTCTGATACTTTCCGTTCTCCCTCGAGGGAGAAAGAAAATATTGGCTGTTATTATTGATGAAATTAAAATCGGGTTTTGAGGTGAATTTGAACTTGTGAGGATGGAAGGTTCTAGACTTTTCAGATGGTGATAGTCCCCAAATCTCATACAAGCTCTTCATTGTATACTTTTGGGGTGGAGGTGGGAATTAATTTTGTTCTTTAACTCCTAATTAGGTATGCCAGGCCTAAAAGATCCACTAATGTATGAGTAGATTGGGTCATTTGAGAAGTAGAGAAGCTAGTTTGTCGGATCTTATCATTTTTTCCTGCCTTGTTATGGGGTCCACATGACTTGATGCAAAGGATCCCATCTACTAAATGCATTAAAGGCTATGGTTGGCAGGAGGTGTTGGCATGACTAGGGCTCCATGGAAGTAACCCTGTTATTCAGGACATCCTTCTCTTTAGGCTTAGATTATGTTTGTGAGTTACTTTTTCTTTTTTCTTTTCTTTTCTTTTTTTTTTTTTTTTTAACACTGTGTGTTATCCCTGCCTTAGCATTTCTTCCGCTGTCCAGGGAGAAGAAATTGGTAAGGCCGCCAGTCCCCTGAGCTTTCAGCTTCTTAGATATCTTTATTACCAGCCAAAACATCAATCATGTTGATGTCGTTGTGTCTCTCCCCAGTGGCAATCTCTGTGGTACCTCTCCAGACACCAGCTGGTCCCAGGCACTCCACTCAGCTGGGGTTCCTTCCTGGCTTTGAGATGTTGGGAGTGGATGTTGGGAGGAGCCTGAGTCATTACATTCCCACTGTCCTGGGACCTGAAAGCTTATACAGATGTCAGCGACCTTTAAATAAGGTACCAAGACTGGCCAGTTACTGCAGAGGATTATGTTTTTATAGCCCAAGCTGGCTATAGCATTTTTATAGCCCAGGCTGGCCATAACTTTGAATTCCCGATTACCCTCCTCTACTTGGCAGGTGATGGGTTTACAGGCATGCTACACCATGCCTTGTCCTAAATTTGTTATTAAATAGGAACATTAATTTAAACAAAACACTCTATTTCCTGAAAGTTCTTGCTTGTAGGGCTTTTTCTTTCTTTCTTTCTTTCTTTCTTTCTTTCTTTCTTTCTTTCTTTCTTTCTTTCCTTCACCAGGGTTCCTCTCTGAGAAGCAGTGATTTGCATAATGGTAGAATTAAGTTGATTATCATGGAGGCCTAACTGTAATCACAGATTGAATTAAAAAGCCCCTTAAAACCCATCACCTGGAACAGTAATCCCATTCAGCTTGAGAAATGGCTGAAATGCTTAGTCTGCTGGTTTTCTGGTCCACTGTCTGGTTAATGAGACTTAACTCCCTGCACTTAGTGCTTTGAGGCCAAGTTCGGAGACACTTCCATGCATTATATGCACCTCGAAGTGCACTGAGGAAATCATACCTCACAGAAAGCCTAAACTCTGAATAAAGGTTTCACATAATAGTGGGTAGAAGATACAGAAAATACACTGCGAAGAAGAAAATCAGTATTTCCCAGTAATCATTAGAGGTAATGATTATTAACATGTTGGGATGTGGCTTATAGGTTTTTCAGACTCACTAGAGTAAATGTAATACATACATACACACACACACACACACACACACACACACACACACACACACACACACACGGAAGGAGAGATTATCCCCTTATGGTTGTGTAAATCTTTGAGTCTTACTGTGTGGGCCTTGGAATCTTGAGTCTTCATGCTTCTGCCTCCAAAGTGCTGGAATTACAGGCAAAGCATCTTGCTCAGCATGCCTATGCTTTTGTTCTTAGTATTGTATCATGGAAGTTTCCCTTCTTGTTATATTTGTGTGTATGTGCCTGCTTAGGGTTTTGTATGTTCTTTTTTTATGTTTCTTACTGCTAAAGCAAATGAATACTTTTCCGTGTGTGTGTGTGTGTGTGTGTGTGTGTGTGTGTGTGTGTGTGTGTGTGTGTGTGGTTTTCAAGACAGGGTTTCTCTATGTAACAGTTCTGACTGTCCTAGAACTCACTTGGTAGACCAGGCTGGCCACTGAGATCTGCCTGCCTCTGCCTCCCAAGTGGTGGGATTAAAGATGTGCACACCACACTCTGTGTGGTTGCTTTTCTGATGTCTGAATGTTTTTTGTGTTTTCGTTTTTAATTGTATGTATTTGTGTACAGTTGTGTGTGGGTATGTGCACATGTGAATGCCAGTATCAGTGAAGTACAGAAGAGGGCACTGTAGAGCTGGGGTTACAGGAGGTATGAGCTGTCTGACCTGGGTGCTGAGAACTGAACTCAAGGCAATGCTAAAACATCGTTTTCTTTTTTTTAGGCAAGTACCTAATGTCTAGCCCAGGCTGGCCACAATCTCCCACCAATCCTCCCACCTCAGCTTCTCAGTACTGGAATTACAGGATGAGCCCTCACACCCAACAGCCATGAGTTCTTAATATATTCTCGTAACTTTTATAGCTGTATAATGATATATTTTCTAATGAAAATAGCTCGTTGTTATTCTTGCTTTCCATTTAACAGTGTTGATCAGAATGTCTGCAAGTGTTAGCTGGTCTGGCAGGGTGAGGGCTCCTTGAGTCTGGGGTGCTTGTGTGTCTAATCCTCCATCATCAGTGAAGCAGGGGATGGCAGTGCTGAAGGCCTCCGAGGTTCTAATTCTGCACTTAAGTTTGGATGTGGGGAGAAGGAGTCCTCCATACTTAGTAGTGTCTGGCTTGAGAGGCAGGAGAGATGGAGCCATCCTCGGGCAGGCATCGAAGGCTCTGTGGGTTAGCACCTGTGAGGGAAGAAGCCCAGGAACCCTCGGGTGAATGCAGAGGTATTTCTTCCAGGCATCTGTGTAGAGATAGTGAATAAAAAGTAAGCTCTATGAGTTTAGAGTTCAGGACCAAAATCAGCATAATATATGAATTTGAGAATCATTAGCCTATTCTGGTATGCTAATTTTGATAAAAAACTGGGGAAGAATTTGGAATCAAATTTCTGAGCTCTGGAAGCAGTGAGAGGGTGCAGTCCCCAGCACCAAGCCTGTAACCCGGCATATAGGAAGCGTATTTGTAAGTGACAGTGTGAGTACTTTTATGTACAATGCTTCATGATACTAAACTTAGCTAAGTTGAGTGCCACAGGATGTGAGACCAAAAGGTTCTTGGCAACCCAGCCAGGAATAATCAGACGTACTGGCAGAACTTGGGAGAGCTTTGGAGAGTGTACCAAGGAAGTGATGGTGGCCAGGAGTGTTTGGTCACTATTGGTCAACCCAGGAAGTTGGTTCTTGCACATAATATCACTGCGGTGAAATTACTGTAAATCCTCTTATTTTGTTGCTTAACCTGATAATATCCCCCATGCTCCATATCTCCCCCATCTCATAAACTCTAGCTAGCTCTCGTCAGTCTGGAATGTTTTCATAGCATTCCTTTATCTTTTATGGCATGGATGTTTTAAACACAACCTCACCCTACTGTAGTCAAGCAAAAACCTTCCTTTTATGCTTTTCTGGTGTTTTGTGGTTAGAGTGCACCATGCATTCCCAACTATCTGGTCACACTGGTGAGGGTGTGTCTCTCTCAGGGTGTGTCTCTCATCTCTGGAGGCCCACAGTGACTGTCTGCTGGTCCTTGTCTGTTAATTTTGAGCTGCCAGCTATGATATCACCTAATTTCTTCAGTGTTTAATTCCTGTTGTGGGTGCCCAGTTCCTGAGCTAGAAAGTAAGTAGTCCACAGGGAGACACAGGGAATCAGTGTAAGCACTTCTTTACTTGTCAGAATTTTCCTGTGTGTTTGGCATTCACTAGGCATTTTCACCTAATCTGGTCTTTTACGGTAGGGATGGAAAGTGCTGGTTTTCTAGTTCTCCCATTC